TCCCTGAAAACATCAAATAAAGCCAGAAATCTGGGGGTTATAATGGATTCAGATTTACACTTCGAGAGTCACATCAAATCAGTAACAAAATCGGCCTACTACCACCTCAAAAATGTCCCACGACTTAGAGGGCTCATGTCAGCTCAAGACTTAGAAACACTTGTACATGCCTTCATAACTAGTAGGCTAGACTATTGTAATGGTCTCCTTGCAGGTCTTCCAAAAAATACTGTCAGGCAGCTCCAGCTTGTTCAGAACGCTGCTGCTAGAGTTCTAACAAAGACCAAAAAATGTGAGCACATTACACCAATTCTTAAATCCTTACATTGGCTCCCAGTATGTCAGAGAATTAATTTCAAAAGCCTACTACTCACATATAAACAGTGCTGTAGTGGTAAAATTAGAGGTGGGTAAACTCTGAATTTTGTGATCATACAGACCGACGCGACACAAAGCAACGCAACACAAAGCGTCGCGATTCTGTAAGGCTGTCCTGGCTATATTGCATTATGTTAAATGTTAAATTTAAGAACAGTAAAGAAAAGTATGTCAACACAAGACAACAACACAATTGCATATTAAGAACTATCTACATACGGAGTCTCTTTTTACAGTAGTGCCCAGAGGGCCTCCTCTCCCTGTGCTCTCTGCATCATTGCCTGTCCTCTCACTGCATGAAAAAATATGTTGAATTTAAGAGTTAACCAGTTAAGCAGCCTGTCAATTACACTGACAACATAAGTTAAAGGAACACTCATGTACTACCTATGTCATCATAAATAGCCTACAGCATGTTTTTTTCACATTGAGAACTGACTTGTTTTCTAATCTACGCGTCACCAGGCGTTTTTCTTTTACCATGCACGACCAGCGAACACAGAGCGTGCGACTACTACCCCCCCCCGTCGGTCCTTCTCGACCGGTCCGCAAAATGTTGTCTGACATGAAACCGGTCCGTGAGGTAAAAAGGTTGGGGACCACTGGGCTGATCCACAACGTGTGTTTACACAGCTCCTGGATCCTGATTGGTCGCTGCTGCAGCCGCAAGGCGCTGATTGGATGCTCACAGACCGTAATACAGCGCAGATGAAAAGGATTCAGACTACGGCGTTTATATGTTCAACAATAGGAAACGTAGTCTTAGCTGTTTTAAAATTACACCAAGTTTATTTCGGATTATTCCAACGGAAGAATACAAGGCGCAGGGAACTTTGAGGTGCGTAAACGCTATTTATAGGTGCGTAAACGCTATTTCCAAAATTCTAGAGGTGCGTAAACGGCGTTTACGTGCGTTTACCCTCCACTACAGCCCTGCATATAAATTACTACATGGTTTAGGACCAAAGTATGTCACTGATATGCTTCCACTACATAAGCCTTCAAGATCACTAAGATCTTCTGACACCAATCTGTTAGTGATTCCCAGAGTAAATACAAATCATGGGAAAGCATCATTTAGTTACTACGCAACAAACAGCTGGAATAAACTTCCTGAAGATTTAAGTCTTTCCCCAACTCTGACCACGTTTAAAACATGACTGTAAACTTTTATGTTACATTACATTACAGGTCATTTAGCAGACGCTTCTATCCAAAGCGACTTACATTACACATTAAACCCATGGCTTTTTCACATTTTTGCCCAGGGAGCAATTAGGGGTTAGGTGTCTTGCTCAGGGACACTTCGACATGGAACATGGGGCAGCCTGGATTCGAACCACCAACCTTGTGCTTCCCAGCACACCTTCTCTAACCCCTGTGCCACGATGACCCCCATGTTCAGCTTCGCCTTGTGCAATGTACGTAAAATTTAGCAGTTTTAACCTCTGCCTTTAATTAATCAATTTAAATAAGATTTTCATTTAGAATTTTATTTTCTGTTTTTAATTGTCTTTTAATTCCTGCATTTTATTTCACTTTATTGTATGAAATGTTATGATGTGAAGCACTGAGTCTACCTTGTGTATGAAAAGTGCTATACAAATAAAATTGCCTTGCCTTCCACCTACTGCAACATTTACATTTTTAGTTATAAAACCTGAGGTTGTTTTCTAAGAAATGATTAAACAGAAGTTCAGAATGTTTCCATTTGAGGGGTTTTGTCAGCTGCTTGCGAGAATGACCCTTTTGACCTTCCTGCCATTTGTTCCTCATTCTGTGTGCTAATAGCAGACCTCTTCCTCTTCTACTTTCAACGGTGCATTGTTACATCTCCTGAAGCTTTATTCAACGTTAATCATGCACGCCATGACACTTTCAACTTATTTCACCTACAGTAGAAGCGGAGCGTCGTCACTACCAGACGCCATTGTTTGCTGACTTCGGACCCGTTCGCAAGTTGCGTTGCTGTGAAGGCTGGACGGCTCGTGGGGAGGGAGGGGGAGCTGTGATAGGTGGAAATGTACGGTGGCCCTGGAGGGAAAAACACAACAGCAAATAGGAAAACACAACGACATTAACTCCTTACGGAAAGGGGAGGGCCTTATTGCAGATAGGAGCCTTCTGATTGGACAGACGGACTGTCTGTCTTTTAACCCTCTTAATCCGAAGCCTTTCGCCGGCGACGGAAAGTGACATGGAGGATTCAAATTACCGTGGCCGTTTCTCAATACCTAAGACGGCGAGAACGGACTCGCGTTCCCGCGAGAATAGACTCGGGAGACAGACTCGGGAGTCCTGACTCACGGGTACGGGAGAACGGAGAACGGACATTTCCGCAATTGGAACAGCAGCTGACTTGATGACTTCACCACAGTAGGCGGTCTTTGTTTACGCACGCAAGTATCTCATCTGCCATCGCAGCTTGCTGAGGTGAAATGCATTCTGGGATATATGTCTCTCACAAGAACAGACGAGCCTGCTTCGATGCATGCCCGGTAAAATGGGCGGGGCGAGTCACATCCGGGTATTATGGCCGTTCTCGGCCAGATGCGGACTTGAGAATTGGAACAGTACTCGGGCTGTGACTGATGACGTTTCACGAGTCCACGAGAACAAAAGTCCACACAAGAACGCATATTGAGAAACGGCTCGTGACTCCTTAACTATTTGCATCGGATTCTGAAATCTGACAAATGCCGCTTTCTAGATATTCTGTCAATCAATAAATCATTGGCGAGACTGAGAGTCTGATGAGGGGGGAAGTGACGCAGCAGAAAGTCACAGAGAGATGACGAGGTTTTACGAGTGTCTCAAAAGTGTCCTACTAGTGTTTCACCATTGTTTTACCGGTGTTTTGTTGTTAAGGTATATTTAGGTGTTGTAAATAAAAGTAAATAATAAAATCCTGTAATTCTGCTGGTAGTTTGCAGTGTTATTGAAGCTTTCTGTGTTTTAGTTCATGTGATCTGCTTTAATGCTGAAAGATTCTCCTCCACACAAACGTGTCACAATTGGAGATGTTAGTAATTACATATTTTACATTTAAGATCAATGTAGAAAAAGCAAGAAATGCTTCTGTTTTATATTTTTATTATTTTAAAAAACAAAACACGAATTAAATGTTTTAACTGTGACAAATATATAAAACAGAAAATTACGAGATAATTGTTTTTATAATTTCAACTTTTATGTCATTTTGACTTTCTAACCATTGTATTTGTTTGGTGGAAAGAGGAATTCACAGAGACGAATATGTGAAACCGCAGAGAATTTAAGAAATATATTTTTCCATAACATATTTAGTCATCATTCAGTGTATCAAGTGTCTTTACTATAATAACATCACACATTGGTTTACTGTGAGTTTTTACCAAAGAATCAGAGAGGAACACGTGACCTTTTAATCACTGAAACACAAGATCAGTATGAAGCTTCAACAAGTTCTAAGTTTCCACCCAAAACAAAACCTGCTGAACAGAATTATGTACGAGTAAATACTGTACAAGCAGACAGATATACAATGTATTCAATGGTCAATTGGACCGTATGCAGTATTACAGTATATTTAAGGTTATTTGCTTACATATAATTGGTCTTGATTATACATTTAAGATAACATTCACCAAAAACATATTTACATGGTCTTGTGTGTGTGATATATTGTGTACAATCAATGGATTATCAGCATTTGTTTTAAAGGTGAACTATGATTTTTACATGACGTTTTTTCTTGCCAAAATGCATCTTTGAGTCACGTTTTTAATGTCTTTCCTTCACCAGGAAATATCTGCAAAGCTGAATTTATAAATCCTTTAAATCCAAAATAGTTTGCGTCCATGTTTGCTGCTCTGCGCTCGTCTTCCTCTTTTCTTCTCCTGGTGTGTTGCTGCCACCAGCTGTGAGTCAGTGGAACATCATCACGGGTTTAGAAGGTGACCTTTAAGTGGGAGCTTTCCTCCCGGGCAGCGTGACGTGTTTGACATCCATTTCTTTGTTGGTGCTTCTTGAAGTCCACGAGGTGAACAGTGATGACGGCAGACACCATGATGATCAGACCCACAGAGAACACCACCATCTTCACCAGGAACACGGAACCTGAAACACACCACAGGTGGATTCATCACAAACACAACACGTCTCTGCTTTCTGCTTGAGTTTGTATTTAACCCCTGCGTCCCTGACGAGGAGCTTTAGAGACGCTCAGAACTCAGAATTCACTCAGAAAACAAGACAATCGTTTCTTTACAACACAGAAAGGCTGAAACTACAACCTGTTATCAGGAAGTCGTCTCCTCTTTCAGTCTTACCAGCATGTTCGGTGCAAAGGTGTTTAGCAGTATTCAAGTCCTGGGTCCAGTGAACCTGGTTGCTATGGTTACAGATGATCACGTTGTTCAACAGGTAGACCTGGAGAGAGGCCACAGAGGTCGTGACCTCTGATCGCTCTCCTCCCTCCTGACTGCAGACCCGGTCGACACATCTGAAAGTGCTGCTGATGTGACAGTTGTGAGTCCTGCAGGTCACATGGAGGTCACATGACTCTGAGCTGCTGTTGTCCACTCGGTCCACGATCAGTTCAACTGGAGACACTGGTCCTGAGGGGGGGGGAGATTTCTGTGAAGAGTTTATGAAACATGGCGGCAGAAACTATCAGTGAAATGTTTACAGACTCACCTTGAACTGTGACCTTGTATTTAGCTGCTAGTTTGTTTCCTGTATCTGTTTCTGCTACAGCAGAATAAACTCCACTGTCGACCTCTTGTACATTCTTCAATATCACAGAGAATTTTTCAAACTCAAGCCGTCCAGTGAAACTGTCATGGACTTTTGATTGTCCACTATGATCAATTGTTACTAAAGTGACTGTTTCATTGATTTTCCAGTCAACAAGTAAAAACTTCTCAGGAGGATCAGCATCAAGCTTGAGGAGCAGATCACGTCCCTTCAGCACAAACACAGGAGTCACAATGGTTCCTGTAAAAACAGTAGACACATGATACAATAAACATCACACACAATATGTGATGAATCATTCACTGCTGAATGTTCCTCCATCACTACACTTTATTTATTACACATTGAACCAGCGGTTCACCTTCAGCTCATCATCACCTCTCAATGGTTGCAAGACGTCTCTTTAAATGTCTCACTGAGGACAGAGGACAAAGGAGGTGGAACAATTGCTTTTGAGTTTTCACCTTGTCCTTCACTCCTCCTCTCACTCAAACTGTTGTTCCCCAAACTTTAGTCAGACAAGTCATGAATGTATTTGGAAAGTTTGTCTGATTGTTCACTCGCTTTGATGCTTTTCTCCTTTTCTGTTTATGTGTTAAGAGAATAAATAAGTCATTCAGACAAAAGTTTAACATGTGTATATGTAAAGACTTCATATAACATTTATTTTAGCATACTACACATATTTTGGTACATTTAGTTATTTTCACTTGCTAAATCTCTAACATTGTTGTATTGAGACTTTGTCTTTAATTCTTAATACTGAAATAAATGTTTGTAAAAAGAATTTGAGCAGAAGTTTTTACTTTATAGTTTTCAGCTTATTATTATTATTCTTTACACCAACTGCAATTATTACCTTAAATAATAAATTAAATAATTTTGCAAAACAATGAATTGTAGATACAAGCTATAATAAGTAATACAAACTCAACACACCATTTAAAAAAAATGTATTTAGGACAGATGAACAGCCGTCCCCAAAAGACAACTATGAAATGTGTGTCAGTGTGTTTGTCTCATTAACCAGAAAAATTCCACTGGACACAAAAATATCAACAGAACATTAAATATTTGTACCCATATCTACATTTTAACAGTCTAGTCTATTGGCTATTGCATCTTGTATAAAGACACGTGAACAGCATGTACTAAACCCATTAATGAGCCACACATGACGTTGCTTGGGAGACGGGAGTCTCAGGGAGCTCAATCTGAAAAACAAACAAATCTAAAACCCAATAAAAACTCTAGAGCAGCGATTCCCAAAGTGTGAGCCGCGAGAGGTCATTTACAATAAATAAGGTTTTTGAATTTAATTTTTAAAAATTTGAAATTAATATAAAAATATGTATGATGCGGCACATTAGGTGTGTGAAACATTAGTTGAAGCACAATTTAAACGGACAGATTAATAAAACAATAAGGCTCTCGCTCGAAACGGCTGCTCTTGTCCGCCTGTCGTTGTTCAACAAGCGGGGCGCCCTCTTGTAGTATTAAAGTCAATATACCGCATTTTCCGCACTCCAAGGCGAACTTAAAATCCTTCAATTTCCTCAAAAAACGACAGTGCTTTATAATCCGGAGCGCCTTATATATATCAATTGGTTACTCGGTTGATCCATACTGGTTGTACACTCTGCCAAACACGCCAAAGCTCGTCTACGACGGCGAGATGCTGAGCGGCGCTCAAGCGCGTGAGATGCGGAGCTGCTTTCAGGGCGCGTCGGAGAAACAAAGCTGTCGTTCTCTCCGAGCACTTCATGAGATTAAAGAGCAAGAGACGGCGCCCTTTTCTCTACAGTAGCTGAACCATCTTAACGGGGAGCACAAGTTATTCTAAAAGCAGCCGAAGATTTAAGGCGTGGATGGCGAAGGGGCGGCGGGAGCGGACGCACCTCACGGCATCGATCGGACCCTGAACGCACCGTCTCCACCTGTCAGAAAGAACCACAGCGAGCGCGTAGAAAACTCCTTCGAGCGCGAGCAGAGATTCTCCTCGCGAGCAACGAAGTTCACGTTTCACAAGCGAGCAAATACCTCGCGGAGACGGACTTTTGTGAGAAACCGCTGTTTTATAGAATTGACAAAGACGAAAACTAAAGACATTCTCTATAATTCTATTTTAGTTGTGTAAAGACACACTAGTTTGTTAGTTATCGTTTTATTTTTATTTCAGTTAACGAAAAAAAAAAATCACAGTGTTCGTTTTTTCGTTAACGATAATAACCTTGGTCTCATCTCAGTATTCTAGAGAAAATAGTTCCCGCTTCATCTCATTCATTCACATCGCTCATGACGATGTCCGGTTGCCTGAAACTGATCATTTGTGGGATTTCCGGTTTTTTTCGGCGATCACCACCGAGATAAAAGCTAAAAACTAACTGTAGCGCAAAATCTAACGTGTTACTTTGAGTGCGCAGTGATACTGAACGCTCGGGTCAGCTGTATAACATGTGACCCGCTCTCAACCAATCAGAAGCCTGGATTTCATCTACTCGTATTATAATGACCGATAATCTATAACAGGTCTTCAACAAGGGGCCGCCAACTTTTTTTTAAAAGCTTTTTTCCCACAAATTTAAATGTCTTCAGAATGTTATTCATGGTCTTTAAATACAAATTAAGACGTTATCTTTCAGTCCACAACACACACATTCAGCTTCTCAAGCTGCTCACTGGTTCGTTCACAGGATCACATCGCGTTTATGCTCACGGCTAAAGAGTGCAAAGCTCCAAAATAAAAGATGACCGACCAAACTCCATAGAATGGGGGTCCCTGCTCCATCTCGCCATCAGTTTGGGGGTCCGTGGCCAGAAAAACGTTGCGGACCCCTGATATATAACCTATAGAATAAAGACCTGAGTGCTTAGTTGGTTTCTCACCTTGAGCCTGAATGCAGACGAGCAGCCCGAGTATCACAAAGAGAGACATGACGGAGTCTCCGACCCCACGCTGCAACAACCGGTGTTCTGCTTCACAATAAACTAACAGCTGGCCTCTGATTCAAAGAAGCTCGGAGACGTTTGCACACAGCTGCTCGTCATCAGGCTCCTTGTGAACTTCCTCTCTGACGGCTTGAGATCTGTTCCTGTAAAGAGAGATTTAGTTCAGCCCTTTGTCAAGGAGGCTCATTTACACCTCAACGTTCACCAGAGGAACAAAGTAGGCGGACACCGGATCCTCCTGCTGATTAAGACTTGGGAGCAAAGTGCTGCCTTCAAGTGGTCGGAGTCGGCTGGGTTCATGCTGCCACTTCGTTCTGTCACGACCGGACAACGGCCCTGAACCCAAACGCACGACTCGTGGACACAAGTTCATTAACAAAAGGCCCAGTGCCACTGAAATAAAACACTATGTACTAAACATAAGAACCCAAATGTGGTAAAGCTACGGATGCTCACATACACTGGTTCCTTGAGACAAGACGAACTAGGAGTGATGTGTCGTTTGTGAACGATTCGTTCATTTTGAACGAGTCCTCTCAAAAAAAATTTGTTCATTTCTCGTTCATACTGAACGAGATTCAAAGAACCGAGTCGGTAAAAAGATCCGAACTTCCCATCACGACGAACTAGCACAGGACAAAGGGAGACGCAGACAACAAATACACACAGGTTAAAAGGCACAGGTGGAAACAATCAGGGGCGGGCAGACAATCAGACCAGCACACGGGGGGAAGTTGCCTGAAACGAGAGGGAGGTTCATTTTCAAAATAAAACAGGAAATCACGAGACACGAGACAACTTGACTAACCCCGTTTCCTGGACATGACGTTAAATCTACAGACTGTGGACACAGCAAGTGGACGTGAGCCAGAGGACGAGCACCACGCCACAAAGTACCTCACCTGCTCCACTTTAAAGGCCTTATTCATATCATGTGAGTGTGTCGTAGAGGAAGCTTTTCATCTCTGCTCCCTGGAACAAAACCAACATTTGAGAGAATAAAAAGGACCAAACATTATTATGTCAATAAACTACATGACTATAAAATGTTGTTTGTACTGTGTGTGTTATTTGCGGTTTTGCTTCAGTTTAACACCTTTAACGTATCTTGTAGATCACTGCACTCGCAAAGACAAACACTTCCTTTCTTTTTAAATGTTCCCTCTGAAAATAGAAAATGTGTCAAAGAAAGAGGAACCTGCAAAAGCAACTTTTCTCAGAAATCATCCTGCACATTAAATGATTCTGATGAGCAGCGTCTAATGGCAGAAACATGTTTGAACATAAATAAAATATTAACATACAATATAAAGAAACAAAACAAGTAACTGACATGAATGAAAGACGTGGATAACAGGGAGTAAAGAGTAAATGTTTACATACACATTTGTATCAACAACTTATAATGTAAATGTATGATCCAAGTTTCATCCTCTTGCTCTATTTGAAGATGGATTAACTGACTTATGGTCTAAAATTCCCTGCTGATCAGTGGAAACTGATCTTTTTTTCTCTGTGTAAATGCTTCTTAAGCCACAAATAAATAGATGCAGTAAAACATCTGATCGGGTCACAAACTAACTCTTCACACTGGAAACATCGGCTGATGTTGTGGTGCACACATGACCGGAGTAGATTCCTCGGCGTGAGGATTTGGATGTGTGGCGGGAGTGCGTGACGCTTGAGAGTCCTGTATCATTTCCTGTTAAAAGACAGACAGACGTCTGTCCAATCAGAAGGCTCCGTCCTCTCCTATAAGGCCCTACCCTTTCCCTAAGGAGTTCATTTCGTTGTGTTTTTATTTGCGTTGTGCGTTCCTATTTGCCGTTGTGTTTTGCACTTCAGGACCACGGTGGAAATGAGGGCGACATCTGATTGGCTACAGACAGGTCCATGTTCAAAGAAACGCACCTGTGGATCTGCGACGTCAGCAGAGTCTCAAAAAACCCACACACGAGTAAATGCAGTGCGATCCGCTAATATAAATCGCAATTCATTGATCTGTGCATTGGAATGTGGTTGTAAATCAAATACATTTGTGAATCTTCCGGTTTACATTCGTGAGTCGCTCTGTGCACATTCGCAATTATTAAGACTGATCTCACCCCATAATTTCTCCGCTCAGGTCGCCCGGCCAAAGAAGCCCTGAAGTTCAGCCAGCATGTGGTGGTGTCGGTCCTGCCTGATGATCAAGGTCGCCAACATGCGCAAGAGTCTCCTGCTGGGGTGTCAGGTCAGTGGAGGGAAGCTAAATAGGTCACAAATATAAGAAGATTATATGTGTGTCTACAAACGGTCGAACACTTTGCACTTTGGGGGGGCGGGTTTACAGACGGCTGGCCGAGGAAAGCCGGAGTATTTACGTCAGCTGGATAACGGGAAGATGAGACGCCGCTGTGTCAATGGAGGAAGGTGCGGCAATGAGCGGGACTCTGAGGACACTAGTGGGGACACAGAAACAAAAACACAAGCACATGGCAAGACCATAACAGACAGGGGAATGACATCAACGTGAGGAGAGAATATGGGAGAACGAGGGACTTCTCCACGTGGTGCTCCACCCGCTCACAAGGCCCATTGCTGTAGCGCATGGGTCTCCAGCCCGCTTGGACCCCATGACACCCACAGGCAGATGCTGCCTCCTGGGGGGGTGAGGTGGCCCCGTTCATCCCCACTGGTCCAGAGGGCATGACCGGCCCGGCCGCAAAGATGGAGAAGGCCACTGGTCTGGTTCGGAGACGTGTTATATAGGTGGGGGGGGGGGGATTAGTTAAGTTCCAGAGAGGGCTAGCCTGCGCCCGGGTCTCTACAGGTGGCGGTATTGTAGCAGACCAAAGTCTGCAGACTTGTTTTGTCCCACCTGGCCAACATAAAGAAGGCGGGGCAACGAAGGCGAGAAGATTGGTCACACCTGACAGGCTGCGTGTCATAGGAAAGAGGAGTGAGAGACGAAGGGACAAACAAAACAGCAGATCGCTGGTAGCTGGACCTGTGGTGTCCTACGAGAGGAATCCTCAAAAAGACCTGCTGGACACTGACAGAGGAAGAATTGACCGGAGACCTTTTGGACCGCCCTGGACTACGGCTCGCCGCGTCGATCAGGAAAGATGAGGCCGTGCAGAAACACCTCTCCTGACTCTCTGGATTATCCAACTCACACTCACCACCCCACACGCACCCCCTCCACCTCACCCAATGTCCCTAACCCATTTAAGCATTTTCCTTCCATCCAAAAGGTCAGTGGAAAACTGCTGCAGACGTCTCTGACCAAGGAAGACGAGACAATTTGTCTGCACCAGAGGAACGTATCGTTCGAGGTGGACATGTCCAGCGACAGTCCTTTCCTCATCCTGCCCCTCACCTTCTACCACCTCATCGATGCCCCCTGCAAGCCTCGGCGGCCAAGTGTAACTTCTATGCTGAGATGAGGAGACGATAGAGAGAAGAGAGGTTTAAGCCTTTTCCTTCCATCCAAATGGGAAAAAGGACGAGTGGTAATTCACGTAAGGCTGCTTCCTTCCACCTACTGCAACATTTCTCTGTAAAACATTTACATTTTTAATGATAAAACATGACGTTGTTTTTCTAAGGAATGACTTGACAGAAATCTGAACTGCCGATCAGCCCTGAACTTCCTCGTTTGAGGGGTTTGTCAGCTGCTTGCGTGAATGACCCTTCCTGCCTTTAGTTCCTCTTCTTTCTTTTAACTTCTACATTCTGTGTTCTTATAGCAAACCTCTTCTTCTTCTGCTTTTTAACGGTGCATCGCTGCATCTCCTGAAGCATCACCTTTACAAACGCTCGATCGGTGCAGTAGTGGAAACCACTGGCAGGATTTATTTCACCTCATTGAGCATCTAATCAACCAGCTCATAGTAAAGTTACTCCTGGTGGTCAGAAACTCCACTGAGTCCCTTTTTTAAATTCTGTATTTTGTACAAATTCCACCTTCCTTCCTCCCCTTTGTATTACACGTCTCCGTACTGTGTCCCATCACATTGCCCCCCCCCTCCACCAGGTGGGGGCTGGACAAATCCAGAGTTGGCGGACTTCGAGCTGCTGGTGATCATGAGCGCCACGATTGAGCCGACCTCGGCCACCTGCCAGGTGCGCACCTCCTACCTGCCGGATGAGATCCTCTGGGGCTACGAGTTCCCCCCCGTGGTCTCCCTCTCCCCATCGGGGAAGTACGTGGCGGACTTCGGTTTCTTCGACAAAGTGGCCAAGACCAAGACGGCGCCCGTCTTCAAACCGTGCAGCCCGCAGCGCGCGTACCAGAGCAACGGGGCCGGGCCCGTGCCAGATGTGTCCGATCCAGAGAAGATCCGTCTGGAGCAGAACTACCGGGACAGAGGGGGGGAACGAGGCCGGGCGAGAGACACTCCCCTCAGTGTTCGCATCAGCAACGTGTGAACGGTGACGGAGTGGAAGGAAACATCACGTGGAAACAGCTCGGACACTTTTAGACTGAACGGAACCTCTGGACGACGTCTGGGGAGATAAAACATGGAGGACGACTGTAACTCACATGAAGGCCTAACACACTGCTGACTGCAGCTACTGCTTCTATTTCAGTGTGGCGAGTGCACACACACCTCACACACACACACTGTATAACAAAGCAAATAGCAGGTGGAGTTATTAACTTGCACACTAACCCCCCCCATGAAAACAAGGATAAAACAGTGATCTAATCAGGGAGCTGCAGGTGACCCCGATTGTCTCGTTTGGCTCCTCCCCTTTTTGTCAAATGTCAAACCAAAAAGAGAATAACCTGTAAGTTAACACAGACGGGGTAGAACCTACAATACTTCCTATAAAATAATCATATATAATACACACATGCTCCACACATTGATAATAGTCTCATGATTTTTAGTTTCTTCTCAGTTATGTGTTCATAATATGATGACTGATGTGTGACCTCGAGTTAAAGACACACAGACAAAATGACAACGCACTGTAAAATGTTAAATAAAGCACTTTCTGTTAATGTAGAACTACAAACTTCAGATTGAATATATTGTCTTGAAGCCTCGACTGAGTCTGTCGATGGTTTGTCTGTTATTGACAGTTAGCACTTTATATCATGTCATATAAACACCTGATGTACATTTGCACCTTTGGAGGATCAGCTGTTGAACTTGGGACCTTAATGTAGGAAGATGAGATTTTTGATGCGACTAAAACACTTTGATATTAAACAACATTGAATTTGAAGCGGTCACACACGTTTGAATAGACGTTTCATTCCAACGAAGCTTATGTGGATTTTCTTTTTGTGTCTCAGCAGCTTTAAAGTAACGACAAAAGTAGAAAAAGTTTCATCTCAAACGTCTGCGACCTGAATATAAACATCAGGTCACTTGCAGCAGTTACTTTATTATTAGAAGCTCTCCTCTCTGTGTGACATGGAACCCTACTTCTATTTCTTATTACTAACATTGAATTAACGAATATTTAGTGGAATCCTATTAAATTTCCCCGTCGAGGCAACAAGGACGCGATGAGGACCAGAGGTGAGTGCTGAGGATGTGAAAGTGATCTTTGAGTCAAAGGTGGTGATGATGTTCTACTGGAAATGTGTGATGATGATGAAGCAGTGATGAAGATGATGGAGTTAAATATGAAGGAAATTGTTTGTATTTGTTAAATGACATTTGATTGAATTAACATCAAGCTGTGGAATGTTTATAGTGTTTAGTGCAGATGGACACATTTCTCTGGTTTAATTAGAGTATTTTGTTTGGTGGCCGTACAGAGTTCCTACAGACGAGCAGTCGGAGCTGATGTTGTGAAGAGACCATTAATAATAAAATATGAGCCCACGTCATGATGTGACGGTAGTTACAAGTCAACCACATAGAGACATATATGGCTTCATTTTAACAATCTTTGAAGTAATTGGTCGTTGCTTTGAAGGGAAGTAAAACGTTCTCCACTCGTTTCATCATCATACTTTCATTCTGCAGAATGAAGTCGTGCGTCGAGCTTCTCTTTGTTTCTCTGCTGACATTATGTGAAGCACAAGGTGAGGACTTTATTTTATATGTATTTTGTTGTCGATTGGTTTTCAAGGTCAAAGCTTTTATACCGCAGCACTATTTCTACAAGTTGAGTTAAAAACATATTTTTGAACTATCTGTGTTTCTTTCTGGTTAATCAGGATTTGTGTTGTTCCTTCTTGTACTGAGCTCTTAGAGGCAGGAAATAGTCTCAGTAAACAGAATGAGTATATATATTAGTATTAATATTTGCCATATTTAGATAAAGATCTGGATCCACGCACAGACCGTAAACACATTCAGCTTCTGTTGGAAAACTTTCTTTAAGTCCTTTTTTCAGTTTTCCTTTAAAGAATCCTTAATGTCCATGTCTTATTTCAGTGAATATTCTAAGTGTCCCAACAGAAGACGTGTGTGATTCAGAGGAAACATTCAGGTGCTTTTAGACACTTTCTCACCACTTGTTGAAACGGGCTGAACGCTTCTTTCCCTCCAAGACAAATGTTGACCTTTACTCCTCTCAGAGTTTAACTCCTTCAGCGTTCAGTCTGTGGACGTCTTATTTTCTAAAGTCGTCCATGTTCAGTGTAGCTGATGCTGGGGGACATTAGTGTGGTGAGACGGAGGGACAGAGGACAAAGAGACAGAATGGAAATACTTTGTCACGTCAAGAAGAAGAACTTTGAGCAGCAACTTGCTCTCAGTGGGTTTAGTTTCTGCTGTTAAGCTTCTTCTCTGTGTCCTCAGGAAGAGACGACGTGAGACATTTGAAGAGACTTCTGTCACTTCATGTTAAGCAGTGATGAGCTGAAGGTGAACCGCTGGTTCAATGTGTAATAAATAAAGTGTAGTGATGGAGGAACATTCAGCAGTGAATGATTCATCACATATTGTGTGTGATGTTTATTGTATCATGTGTCTACTGTTTTTACAGGAACCAGTGTGACTCCTGTGTTTGTGCTGAAGGGACGTGATCTGCTCCTGGAGCTTCATGCTGATCCCCCTGAGGGGGTTTTATTTGTTAACTGGAAAATCAATAAAACAGTCAATTTAGTAAGATTTAAACCTAGTGGAGAATCCCATGTCGATCCACGTTTCACTGGAAGGGTTCAGTTTGGTGAGAATAAATTCTCTGTGAGATTGAAGAATGTACAAGAGGTCGACAGTGGAGTTTATTCTGCTGAAGCAGTAACACCTACAGGAGACAAACTAGCAGCTGAATACAAGGTCACAGTTCAAGGTGAGTCTGTAAACATTTCACTGATAGTTTCTGCCGCCATGTTTCATAAACTCTTCACAGAAACCTCCCCCCCCCTCAGGACCAGTGTCTCCAGTTGAACTGATCGTGGACCGAGTGGACAACAGCTCAGAGTCATGTGACCTCCATGTGACCTGCAGGACTCACAACGCTCACATCAGCAGCACTTTCAGTTGTTTCGACCGGGTCTGCATTCAGGAGGGAGGAGAGCGACCAGAGGTCACGACCTCTGGGGCTTCTCTCCAGGTCTACCTGTTGAACAACGTGATCATCTGTAACCATAGCAACCAGGTTCACTGGACCCAGGACTTGATTACAACTGAACATTTTTGCTCCTCAAATCCTGCTGAACACCTTTGCTCCGACCATGCTGGTAAGACTGAAAGAGGAGACGACTTCCTGATAACAGGTTGTAGTTTCAGCCTTTCTGTGTTGTAAAGAAACGATTGTGTGTTTTCTGAGTGAATTCTGAGTTCTTTGCGTCTCTAAAGCTCCTCGTCAGGGACGCAGGGGTTAAATACAAACTCAAGCAGAAAGCACAGACGTGTTGTGTTTGTGATGAATCCACCTGTGGTGTGTTTCAGGTTGCGTGTTCCTGGTGAAGATGGTGGTGTTCTCTGTGGGTCTGATCATCATGGTGTCTGCCGTCATCACTGTTCACCTCGTGGACTTCAAGAAGCACCAACAAAGAAATGGATGTCAAACACGTCACGCTGCCCGGGAGGAAAGCTCCCACTTAAAGGTCACCTTCTAAACCCGTGATGATGTTCCACTGACTCACAGCTGGTAGCAGCAACACACCAGGAGAAGAAAAGAGGAAGACGAGCGCAGAGCAGCAAACATGGACGCAAACTATTTAGGATTTAAAGGATTTATAAATTCAGCTTTGCAGATATTTCCTGGTGAAGGAAAGACATTAAAAACGTGACTCAAAGATGCATTTTGGCAAGAAAAAACTTCATGTAAAAATCATAGTTCACCTTTAAAACAAATGCTGATAATCCATTGATTGTACACAATATATCACACACACACAAGACCATGTCAATATGTTTTTGGTGATTGTTATCTTAAATGTTTAATCAAGACCAACTATATATGAGCAAAAAACCTTAAATACTCTGTATTATACTGCATACGGTCCCATTGACCAATAAATACACATTGTATATGTGTCTGCTTGTACAGTATTTACTCGTACATAATTCTGTTCAGCAGGTTTTGTTTTGGGTGGAAACTTAGAACTTGTTGAAGCTTCATACTGATCTTGTTTCAGTGATTAAAAGGTCACGTGTTCCTCTCTGGTTTACTGTGAGTTTTTACCAAAGATTCAATATGTGATGTTATTATAGTAAAGACACTTGATACACTGAACGATGACGAAATGTTATGGAAAAATATATTTTTTATATTCTCTGCTGTTTCACATTCGTCTCTATGAAATCCTCTTTCCACCCAAAAAAAATAGAATGGTTAGAAAGTCTACATGAGATAAAAATTGAAATTATAAAAACAATCATCTTCTAATTCTGTTGTTTTATATATTTGTCACAGTTGAAACAGATTTGATTCATGTTTTGTTTTTTTAAAATAAGAAATAAAAATATAAAACAAGCATTTCTTACTTTTTCTACATTGATCTTAAATGTAAAATATGTAATTACTAAAATCTCCAATTGTGACACGTTTGTGTGGAGGAGAATCTTTCAGCATTAAAGCAGATCACATGAACTAAAACACAGAAAGCTTCAATAACGCTGCAAACTACCAGCTGAATTCCAGGATTTGGGGAAACATTCTTTAATCATTGACGGACTGTGAGGGTTGGGAAAGCCCTCGAGGGAGGCCTCACTCCTTTGTTCTCGTCCCGGCCGGAAACGAAGAATCAAAAGAGTCAGTTTGCTTAAATTCAAAAATCAAAAAGTATTTAATAACTAAACAACGTTATAAGGAATACAATTACAAAGTGAAATACAAAACGAACAGTAAAATATTTCGCGAAATAGAGAATTCTCTGAGCAAGTCTGAAGTGACTTATCAAAGCGGCTGCAGGAGAAGTTCTAACAGTCTTTTCCCCGCTTTGGTCCTTTGAAAACTCTTGAGGTGTGTCTTCCTTGGTGCATTTGAATGTCATTGGCTTCTTCTCCAAAGGGTCACCTCCTCCATTGTCCCTTCCACGTCGAGGTGTGAAGCTGCAGCTGTAACCTGAAACCTCTCTGTCCTAGCTGTCCCTCACCTTCCAATGCATTCAATGTAGAGACAGTCGGCTTTATGCCTCAATGAGTGAATATAACAAAGCATACATCGTTTAAGTCTTCATCTTATAACTAGTACACTTTAATTACAACAACCCATCATTAATGATCACCGTTCATCACACTTCATCATAAGATTTAAGACAGTTCATGTGGTTCAATTCTCAAGACATTTGCCTCAGTCGGCTGCCTCGCATTAAGTTGTTCATTTATTACCTGACAGGGGCGGCACGGTGGTGTGGTGGTTAGCACTGTCGCCTCACAGCAAGAAGGTCTTGGGTTCGATTCCGCCCAGAGGCCTTTCTGTGTGGAGTCTGCATGTTCTCCCTGTGTCTGCGTGGGTTCTCTCCGGGTTCTCCGGCTTCCTCCCACAGTCCAAAGACATGCTCTGGGGATCAGGTTGATTGGGGACTTTAAATTGCCTGTAGATGTATGAATGTGAGTGTGAATGGTTGTATGTCTCTGTGTTGCCCTGCGATTGGCTGGCGACCAATCCAGGATGTACCCTGTCTATCGCCCGAAGTTGGCTGGGATGGACTCCAGCCCCCCCGCGACCCTGTGTGCAGGATAAGCGGTTTGACGATGGATGGATGGATGTATTTATTACCTGACAGGAGAAAAAGCTCCCAAAAAACCCTCTTTGGGGATAAAATTGGGAGAAATCCATAAAGCATCTGCAACTAGCATCCGTCCCCAGGTTTTAACATCACATTGTGACAGAATGTTAATGTGTACAGTGTTTATATGATTTAAATGACTATGAATTGTGTTTGATTGAAATTGCCTTCACTTCATCTAACATGTTAATGTAATAACTAATATCTAATAACACACAAACTATAATTCTAACACTAAACATTATTACACGTACTATAATTTCCTGACAAGGGGTGCACTTCTGGCTTAAATCCCTAAGAGGACCTGTCAGGCTTCTCCACCTCAGCGTAGAAGCTCTCCAGCTGAATCGATCCAGCATGAAGTCCCACCGAGCTGAAGGTGGAGTTCTCATTCTGAGGTGCTGATGTTTCGTTCTGCAGGATAAATCACACACGTAAGAAAAGGTGACTTGAGACTTCTTAATGGTTCTATTTTCCACAGATCTGATTACAAGCAAGCAGCAGATGTGAGGATGTAGCAGCACGAAGCCACCTGGAAACAACCTTGGTGCAAAGTTTGGATCCTAAAAATGTCTTAAATTAGTTTAAAGACGTAACGCTTAACCAAGCAGCTCCTTCCTGAAAAAGTTCATGTTTCTGTGTTAAACCTGCAGGTCAGTGATGGAAGAAGAACAAACAGCCCTTTAAAGATCTGAACTGTTGTACATTTACTTTACTGAGCTGCAGATAAAGTGACTCCATCTTTTGGGTGGTGTCTAATTTACTCCATCCTCAAACAGAAGCACATGTTGACGTGTTCGATTTGATGTGTTGGGATGTTTGTATCAAAACAGCAGATCATGACAATCCCAGTGAGATAAAAAGCACCTTTTGGTAAAATATCACATGTATATTTTAACAGACGTGTTTCCTTATCTGATGCAGTAAAAGACGTCCTGTGTTGTACAGATTGTTCAGCGCTCTGAGGCAAACTGTGATTTGTGATATTGGGCTATTTAACCAAACAGGTGGGTACATAGTTATGGAGGACTTGGAGACATTGAGTTTCTATGTAGAGGAAACAAAGAGGATTTTACAGATGTTGAGATTATTTGTTGGAATATTTACTTGGACTTAGATTCTTCTCTTTCGATCAATATAAAGCCAGACGATTAGAACCACAACTATGACGAGAATGAAAATGACAGTGAGAATTTAAGGAGGACGTATGAGGAGGAAGTCATCAAAATGTAAAGTATAGTCAATGTATGTTTATGAAAGTAACAAAAAGAACACTGTGTATTTTTTTAAAACAAGTAGTATTGTATGTCATAGTTTTTCTATTAAAGTATTCCCAAAAAGTATTATATACATGTGTATTACATTAGATTAGATTCTAATCTAATGTAATACACATGTATATAATACGATTAGATGTATATACATGTATATAATACTGTCAAACATACGGCCCGCGGGCCGGAACCGGCCCCCAAGGAGGTTCGATCAGGCCCGCAGGATAATTTGAAAGTGGAAAAAATGCATAAAAGACATGGAATTAATATTTTTAATTCGCTGCAATTCATGGATTATCCGCTAAGGGGCGCACTCTTTCCATCAGAGTAGAAGACAAGCCGCATCACTGAGACAGACTGAAAACAGCAGACTGTATCAATGCGCCATCTGCTGCTTGTTACGACGTTGTTAATACCTTGGTCTCTACCTCTCCGCTACACCCTCATTAGCCAAAATGTCGTTATCCAAACGGAGAAAAGTAGATAAGGAGTGTAGAATTTTCAAAGAAAAATGGACCACGTCCTATTTATTTACAGAGATGCACGGAAAACCTTTGTGCTTGGTGTGTTTGCAACAAGTTTCGGTATTGAAGGAATATAATATTCGCTGCCACTACGAGACTCATCACAGCGAAAAATATGACGGCTTGCAAGGACAACTGAGAAGAGATAAGATTAACGAATTGCTGGCGGGTCTGAGGAAACAGCAGTCAACTTTCATCAAGAGCCGAGAAGTCAGTGAAGCAGCGGTAAAAGCCAGCTACCTAATTGCTAGCGAAATAGCATTAGCATCGAAGCCGTATTCCGACGGTGACTTTGTTAAACGATGCATGATGAAGGCGGCTGAACTTGTATGTCCCGAGAAGCGACAAGCTTTTGCCAATATTAGCCTAGCGAGGAATACTATAGCAGAGAGGATTTCGGAACTATCTGCAGATTTAGACAGTCAATTGAAACAGAGAGTCAAGTCATTTATTGCATTTTCCGTGGCAATTGACGAGAGCACTGACATCACAGACGTGGCCCAACTGGCCATATTTATTCGAGGAGTTGATGAGACATTGACTGTTACTGAAGAGTTTCTTGAGTTGGTGCCAATGATGGACACCACAACAGCCGAGGACATTTTCGGCTCTGTCGTTGCTGCATTGGACAGAGTTGGAGTGGACTGGTCCCGCGCTGTCAGCCTGGCTACAGACGGCGCGCCAGCCATGGTCGGAAAGAAAGCAGGTGTCGCGACAAAGTTCAAAGACAAAGTACAAGCCCTTAATGGAGGAGATCGTTTCTGGACATTTCACTGTATTTTGCACTAGGAGGCATTGTGTTGCAAGTCGCTGAAAATGGACCACGTCATGGAGGTGGTTGTTCGCACTGTAAATTTCATCCGGTCCAGAGGTCTGAACCATCGTCAGTTTGACAAACTTCTCAGCGACAGCAACATTACCCACAGCCTGCCATACCACACTGAAGTGAGATGGTTAAGCCGAGGCGCTGTGCTGAGGCATTTCTTTGATCTACGAGAGGAAATCGGACAGTTCATGGAGAAAAAAGGAAAACCGGTGTTGGAATTACAATCTCAGGAATGGCTACGGGACCTTGCATTCTTGGTTGATATTACTGAACACTTGAACAATCTGAACAAAATGTTGCAAGGCCGCAAAAAAGTTGTCACACAGTTTTCTGACAACATACATGCATTTAAGTTGAAGCTGACTTTGTGGGAGATGCAACTGGCAAATGGCAACCCTGCTCATTTCCCCTGTCTGAGAGATGTGTGTGTGACCAGACCTGATGCGGACATGAAACGGTACAAAGACAAAATTGCAGGACTACTGCGGGAGTTTGAGAAACGTTTTCAGGTATTTGGTGAACTTGAGACAGAATTTTCAGTTTTTCGCTCACCTTTCACAGTTAAAGCTTCTGATCTGCCGGTCGAAATTCAGCTAGAGATAATTGATTTGCAGTGTGATGCAGATTTGAAGGGCAAATTTGCCTCTGTAGGTCTGGACAGATTTGATCAGTATCTACTACCAGGGTACCCCAAATTAACAGCCCTGGCTGCTAAAATTTTGTGCATGTTTGGGACAACCTACCTTTGTGAACAAATTTTCTCAGTGATGAATATCAATAAAACAAAAATACGTTCAAGGCTCACAAACAAGCACTTAAATGACATTCTGAAAGTGACAGCTAGTCAGGACATGACACCTGGTGTTGATGCACTTGTACAGGCCAAAAGATGCCAAGTTTCAGGAACAAATACAAGTCCAGACTAGACTAACACCTTTAAAATGCTGCCTTAGATACTGTTTGCATTGAAAGAATACAGCTCTGTGAAGATGAATCCTTACTGTGGTGATTTAAAAAATGTGCACTTTAATGTTAGTCAGCAGCTTCAAAACAAAAGTTGTGTGATGGAATTCTACTGTTCATACAACTCCATAAATTTTCAGTATGTATTGTATGTGTATGTATGTTTCATGTATGAAGTTTACAGATTTGCAGGACAGGCGAACACTTTCTTCATTACACATTTAAAATCACTCTCCTTAGTTTGTAAGGTGTACGCAGGGATTACATTTAGATTTTATATGCGTATGTGTAAGTGGTTTAAAAATTCCTTTCTTTAAAAGTCTCATTTAATCTTAAAGTGCATTACTATATTTTTCAGTACCAATTAAAGTTTTGTGCCTTTGTACAATCAGTGGGATCAGTTGCAATGCATATTTGTGAATGATAAAAGTAAATTGCACATTTGTCTAAGGAAATATGAGGTGTTTCATGAAATGTTTTGTAAAAGGGTAGTTCATTAAATTTCAATATTTTCCTAATGTTCTTGTGCTTCTTTACACCAAAACAAAGAAAAGACATGATATTTTGTTAATTTATAGCAGAGTATGGTATAATTTTAATGGTCCGGCCCACTTGACATCTCCCTAGGCCGTATGTGGCCCACGATGCGAAATGAGTTTGACACCCCTGACATATGACCATGACCATAGGTGAGGGTAGGAACGAAGATTGACCGGTAGATCGAGAGCTTTGCCTTCCGGCTCAGCTCTCTTTTCGTCACAACGGTGCGGTAAAGCGAGTGCAATACTGCCCCCGCTGCTCCGATTCTCCGGCAAAACTCACACTCCATCTTCCCCTCACTCGTGAACAAGACCCCGAGGTACTTGAACTCCTTCACTTGGGGTAAGGACACATTCCCTACCTGGAGTAGGCAATCCATCGGTTTCCTGCTGAGAACCATGGCCTCAGATTTAGAGGTGCTAATCCTCATCCCGACCGCTTCACTCTCGACTGCGAAACGCTCCAGTGAGAGTTGGAGGTCACAGACGGAAGATGCCATCAGGACCACATCATCTGTAAAAAGCAGCGATGAGATCCGCAGCCCCCCGAACTGTAGACCCTCCTCCCCCCGACTACGCCTCGATATCCTGTCCATGAAGACCACAAACAAGATTGGTGACAAGGCGCAGCCCTGGCGAAGGCCAACCCCCACCGGAAACGCCTTCGACTTACTGCCGAGCACCCGAACACAGCTCTCGCTTTGGGCGTACAAGGATTGGATGGCCCCAAGCAAGGACCCCCTCACCCCGTACTCAGCACCTCCCACAGTATCTCTCGGGGGACCCGGTCATACGCCTTCGCCAAGTCCACAAAACACATGTAGACTGGTTGAGCATACTCCCAAGCCCCCTCTATGATCCTGGAAAGAGTGATGAGCTGGTCCGTTGTTCCACGACCAGGACGAAAACCGCATTGTTCCTCTTCAATCCTTGGTTCGACTATCGGCCGAACCCTCCTTTCCAGCACCTTAGAGTAGACTTTACCCGGGAGGCTGAGTAGTGTGATACCCCTGTAATTGGCACACACTCTCTGGTCCCCCTTTTTGAAGAGGGGTACCACCACCCCGATCTGCCACTCTTTTGGCACTGTCCCAGACTTCCACGCAATGTTGAAGAGGCGTGTCATCCAAGACAACCCCCCAACACCCATTGCTTTTGACCGAAAGAACTAGGTCACGGGTACAAGCGGCCGAAATGGGTTTCCTCAGGAGAGTGGCTGGCGTCTCCCTTAGGGATAGGGTGAGAAGCTCAGCCATTCGCGAGGAGCTCGGAGTAGAGCCGCTGCTCCTTTGCGTCGAAAGGAGCCAGTTGAGGTGGTTTGGGCATCTGGTGAGGATGCCCTCTGGGCGCCTCCCTAGGGAGGTGTTTCAGGCACGGCCAGCTGGGAAGAGGCCCCGGGGAAGACCCAGGACTAGGTGGAGAGATTATATCTCTGCACTGGCCTGGGAACGCCTTGGGATCCCCCAGTCAGAGCTTCCCGGGAAAGGGAAGTTTGGGGTCCCCTGCTGGAGCTGTTGCCCCCGCGACCCGACCCCGGATAAGCGGTTGAAGATGGATGGATGGATGGATGGACCCCTGACATAGAGCCTAAAAAAAAGTCCATAGACCGTTTGTAATGCAAGTAAAAATCACATGGTCCTAAGAATGGAGGAAGAAAAAAAATGTTAGGATCATTTGGAAATGGAGGCAGGGGAGGCACTGTTTAATGGAAATACAGAGTGGAGGTGGGAAATACAAAAACTGTGTTACATCTGGTGCAACTTTCTTCTTTTAACTGTTGCCGGCTGCCATTTTGGAAATCTCCAAAGCACATGTTCTGCACCCCCAGTAGTGGTGGATAACAAGTCATTGTTATCTCCTCTGTAGACCAAGCTGAGAATTTCTTTCTCAGCCATCTTTTAACTGTTTTCTCTATTTATCTCCGCCCGCCATCCTGTAATGTTCCAAAAACATGTGCTCCGTTTTCCCGAAGACCAGGCCCCAATCAAATCCTTAATCCGGCTTCATTCTTTTCGCAACATGCAACATACAATTATATACAAGTTCGCAACGTTTTCAACTGATCTATATTTATTGTAAAAATGTATCCAGTAATTTATTATTTTCGGGTCTTGGCAGACGGCCGTGGCACTATCCTCACCCTTTTCGAATTTAAATTGTAACTTCCAGCCTTCAGGGTCTTGGCGCGCTGGTCCGTGACTCTGTCCTCACCTGCAAGGCGAGTTATATGATGACCTATTTCTTATCTTATCTCTTATTATTTTAGGTCTATTTATCCCTGCACTTAATTATCCGCAAAATTTTAGTCAGTTCTTGGCAACTACGGCGCGTGGCTCTGTCCTCACAAGTTCCAAATTTATTTATTTATTTTTTAGTTATCTAGCCTCATTGGCGTCGTCTAGTTCATATTTGAATTTATTGTGCCGCCTAACAGAGTCTAAAAGAGCTTACGGAGACAACAAAGAACCGCCATTACAACGCGAACCTCTTCCACTCAATTACTGCTGGTAACACTCCTGGTTCCATCAGGCCTTGTGGACTTAACTCTGTTAGCGCGTTATACACAGTGCATTACGTATACAGTGTATAAATTGCTATACGTCTATCCCCAACCGGTTAGAGGCCTATACTAGGTTTCCATTCATTCTATGACTGATCAGTTAAATAACGTCGCCCATTCACTTAACGTTAACGCTACACAACCGAGCTTCGTCGGTAACACACACAGAGACGTCCAAACAAACACTATATACAATGTGCTTTTTATCACAACGGCCATTCAAGCTAAGAGAAAAAATATTTTTTCTCTAAAATGTAGTTTACCTCAAAACATCGTATCTTGTCCACTCACACCTAAATGTTCTATGATAAACTATACAGCATTTCGGTTTTAAAACAACTGGTTGCCGGTTACCTTTTCGATGGCGCCGTGTGAGTGAAGAAAATTGATCGCTGGGCTTTGTTCAGATCAGCTGTTCCTCCGTCCGTCCATTGCTCTCCATCACGTCGGGGTGTCCAAATTGTTGTGTTCAAAAATGAAGAAACGCCGGACGGACAGAGGTCATCGCTGATCAAAAGGTTAAATCAAATGTATTTAATAAAGGAGATGGCGTTTTGGTAAAAAGAACATCTCAGCTGAGGAGCCGCTGGTCTCAGCCACCAACAGGCCCCAGGTCAGTCCTTTGACCATCCCTAGTGCCCGTCTGTCGCCTCCACCAGTGAACTCGAGAACAATGGTTCCTACAGGTATTCATACCAATGCTTAAAGGTGTGAAAGTCAGTGTCCACACCTCTGGGAGTGGTCTTCTGGTGAGTTCAATGTAACTCGGATTTCGGATGATCCTTAGTCAATATCAGTTGTTGTTCAAGTATTACATGCATGCATTCCAGTTGATTACATTACATCAAATACAATCATAACTGCATTGGTATTATTCAATTACAGTAGTTTTACAATATTGTCATTACTTTATTGATTACACAGTTTCAGAATCATGGCTGCATTCTGGTGTACACTATATGCATTTTTATTAATTTTATGAACCGGATCGTCTGTTTCTAATATCCTACATTAGACAGGAATCCTCACACCGGCTCGCCCTGTTGACGGAGGAGTCGCCTCCCCACTGTCAACAGGGGCACGAGGGACTTCTCCACGGGGTGCTCCACCTGCTCACAACGCCGATTGCTGTAGCGCATGGGTCTCCAGCCCGCTTGGACCTCAGGCAGAAGCGGCCTCCTGGGGGGGTGAGGTGGCCCCGTTCATCCCCACTGGTCCAGAGGACATGACCCGCCCGGCCGCAAAGGTGGAGAAGGCCACAGGTCTGGTTCGGAGACGTGTTATATAGGTGGGGGGGGGATTAGTTCAAAGTGAGACGTTAGGTTCCAGAGAGGGCTAGCCTACGCCCGGGTCTCACTACAGGTGGCGGTATTGTCGCAGACCAAAGTCTGCAGACTTGTTTTGTCCCACCTGGCCAATATAAAGAAGGCGGGGCAACGAAGGCGAGAAGATTGGTCACACCTGACATGTCACGGGTGGGAGGCAGGACTCAAACGCAGACTTGCGGGAAACAAAAAGGACTTTAATAGTTGAAGGTCAAAAATCCAAAAGGCCAAGGGGCAAAAACACACAAGCATGCAACTTACAGATACCCACAACAAGGGACACGGACATGCGTGGCGAAAGACAATGACGCGACAAGTGACACAAGAGACACACGGCTTAAATACACAAGGGAGGTGCAGGTGATTGGACACAGGTGGAAACTATTAGACAATCACAGGGGATGACGGGACAAGGCAGGAAGTGAAGGTACCCGGGGACACGAGTGGCAGAAAACTACCAAATACAACAGGAAGTGAACTACACCGTGACAGTACCCCCCCCCCCCTTAAGGGCCGAATTCCAGACGGCCAACACTAGAGCGAACAAGGGGTGGGGGGGCAGGGAAACCAGAGACGTTGGACCACCCGGGAAACTCTGGCGGGCGGCCCGGCGGGTGGCCAGACGAGCGGGGAGCCTCTGGGGGTCGGCCAGGCGGGCGGTCACCAAGCCGGCTCCGGAGCGGCGACTGCAGGGCACGGAACGTCTCTAGAATGGCAGGCTCGGAGACACGGAACACCTCCGCCGTCGGCAGCTCGGGGACACGGAACACCTCCGCCGTCGGCAGCTCGGGGACACGGAACACCTCCGCCGCCGTCGGCGGCTCGGGGACACGGAACACCTCCGCCGCCGTCGGCGGCTCGGGGACACGGAACACCTTCGCCGCCGTCGGCGGCTCGGGGACACGGAACACCTCCGCCGCCGTCGGCGGCTCGGGGACACGGAACACCTCCGCCGCCGTCGGCGGCTCGGGGACACGGAACACCTCCGCCGTCGCCGTCTGCTCGGGGACACGGAACACCTCTCGCCGGCGGCTGCTCATAACTCACCCCGTAGCTCTCCCCTCAAGGGTCGGGTGGGAGAGGATCATGGGATGGGGAGGGACGGAGCCTGAGTCTCGGAGCAGGACTGGGGGCGTCAGGGTC